AAAAGAAAACCAGGGCAACACTCCCCTCCCAGCCCTGCAGCGTCAGTAACCAAAATCTTGCGACTCACTCGAGGCCACATCTGGGGACTGCACCATCCTCCTGTTGAGGGCGCTCAAGCTCTTGGATTGGCTGAACGAGGTCACGTGACCCTCTTGAGACGAGCGCTCTTCCCTGGCCGCCCCCGAAGGGAAACTGGCGCCGTTGCTGCCGCTTCCCGTGGCGTTGGAGTCGTTGGTGGAGACCGCAGAGTCGCCGTCGACGTAACCCATGTCCTGTCGCAGCTGCTTCCTGACGTCTTGGTAGCTGGCGAGTCAGAGAAACAGAGCACTGATTACTTTATGAAGTCGACACTTCTCACGTCTAGATATCACACTATTGTTTGTCCTTGTCTTCATCAATTAAAAATATCACCAACGTCTGCTTGCCTGGACTACAGCCGTGTACTCCTATTCCAAATCTTTCTTAACGTTTTGGTGGGTATATTACAAACCAGCAGCCTAAGACCTATTTTATTTCAACAGAAAATGCTTGTGTTTACATCTTTTTAAATGAAAGGTTCAGGTAAACGACCTACCTGACGACAGTGTTGGTACAGGTGATGAACTCTGGCTTGGAGTTCCACTGGTGGTAGGTGATGAAGTACCGCGTGCGCAGCCAGATCCACTGCTGGCCTTTGGTGAGGAACCGGTAAAAGCTGGACGTGCCTTTGCCCATGGCCATCACTGGGTGGGAGGAGGGGTGAGAGGGGGAGGGGGGGGGTGAGAGGGGGAGGAGAGGGGGGGGGATAAATGTTTCAATATAGGGGTTTGATCTCGGTCATTTAGGAGGTGGGCTCCACACCCTGCCTTTCAGGGCCACCTATACACTTTAGACGGAGTTGATGAACAAGTGTTTATACCTCGTATTTTCTATGTCACGTGGGACGTGTAATTTGTCATATTCACGGTGAAAGACGACCTTGGTACTTGGCAGATTTTTTTTTATGCCCCAAATCCTCAAAAACATATTTAATATAATGGTACATACTGGTTGGAAACTAGGCATTTCTACACATTGCTGGACATCTCTTTGCCAATGCTCATTAACAGGAGGGGGGTATGGGGCATACGTAAAAATATTGTCAACTACAGCAATACATTTCCGATTGGGATGCTTCCAGGGGGAGGTGGGGGGGGAAGGTAAAAGAAAGAAGTAAGAAAACCGCTTACACTGTTCGTGGCATTTCGACACAATCTCAAGGTCATCAGGGTGGTAGTAGTCGTAACCCGACGTCCCCAGGACTTCAAACGGCAGGTAACCTATGATCGGTGGAGCTCTGGAGAAGCAACATATATTTGATATTTTAATAACCTCCAAAGTTTAGATTTTGTTTCCGTCAGAGTTTTACAGCACTTGCAAAGGAAACAGATCAAAAACTTCAACTGTAAGAATCAAATAAACAAATTACTACATTTTCACTGTTTAAAAAAATGGAGATACGACAAAAAAACTTTAACTTTAAGAAGAGGTCAAATAAACACATTACTTCCCCTATACACCTGTGGCCGAAAAACAAAACTTTATCTTTATACACCTGTGGCCGAAAAACAAAACTTTATCTTTGAGAAGAGGGGGAAAAAAAAGACTTCCCGTGTACACAGTACAGCGCCTCACCTGTGGTCCAAAAACAAAAATTTCCACTCCAGCGAGTGACGAGAGGTGAACTCGTTAGTGGCCTCGTCCACCGTGGACATCTCCCGGATGATGTGAGAGGTCTGGAGGCGCACCGTGCAGCAGAAGCACAGCGACTGTTCTGGTAGGTCGATGCCAATAAAGTCGCTGTTGTCGTTCACCATGGCATCTTCTGAAACACACAGACAAATCACATACATATCAGTTTGTCAAGCACTTCAAAATGCACAAAGAAATCGGCTGTAATCTGGGTTGCTATCTCCGTTTATTTATCCTGGGTTTTTTTCATACTGCCCAACATTTCAACTCCTTCACAAATGAGTTCTGCTTCCTATTAACATTCTACTCTCTGAGAATGTTTCGGCGTTTGGCCTTGACTTGCTCGGTGCCTGTTCTCAAACTTTTCTAACATGACGTGATGAAATCATATAGCTTCCCTGAGCACCATACGCTGTTTGTTAGCGACACTCGGAGGGTGACGTACCTTCCTTGTGGTTCAACATCTTCCAAAACATTGGCAAGGATCGAACTCACAACTTCAGAGTACAGCTGACAGCCCTTCCTAGAGACAAGAAAAACCCTCAAAGTAACCTATCATGCCCACACTTATCTTTAGCCCGAGTATGTTCACACACTGATCAATCAACGGACTGGTACCAGTGAGCGTACACATGACATACCATCGGAATCACCGATGACTTGCGATGTCCCACAGACTCGGACATACTCGTATGTGATTGGCTCCCCTGGGTCGATGGTGCCTCGCTTCAGGTGGCAGGTGAATGACATCGTCTTCTCCTCTGTAAGTTTGGGGGGGGGGGGGGGGAAAGGTTAGATAAAGTGAAAAGTTTCACTGAAACGTTTTGAAAATAAAATCATAAAATGATTCTCTACTTCAGAGACGCTTGTATGGCATCATGGTAAAATACTCAACTCAAACACACCAACATTCTTCAGCCAGTGGGGCAACTTTTATGCATTTTTTTTGGTGGGGGGGGGGGGGGGGGTTCAACACCTTTACATTCATTTAAAAGCACACTTCTGTGGGTATTTTACTGGAAAAACATTGATCAAATGCACAAGAAATGTAACTTTGCAGTTCCCACCGAGGTCACCAACCACACAAGCTTACTTGCTCCAGAAGAGAGTCACCGGTTTAGAAACTTCCAACACAAGTTATCTCCCTTGTTTGTTTAAGTAACGAGAAGCACATCGACACAATAATGGTCATTTAATGCAAGGGAAAAGTAAGACAGACAGACAGAAACAACAGAGAGAAAGAAAAGAAGTAGGACCTACTAGTAGCGCCCTCCAACCACCTGCAAATAATCTCTCAACCAAAACAGTTCCCACAAACTGTAATTAACCATGGGTGGGACAGTCAACTGAAGCCACAGGTACAGGCTGCATGGACGAGGAACTACCTTGGAAAGAGAATAGTAATTAATCCTCAGACAGGAAAAAGAGGCTAAAACACCACCTGGATATGGATGACTGGTGCCTCTATAAAGAAACCATTGATGGTTGGGGAATAGCAACATCTAATCCAGAATGCTAGACAAAGAGAATACATATAATCAGGAAAAACAAACCACATCCCCCACCACAAACTATCACAACCCCCACCACAAACTATCACAACCCCCACCACAAACTATCACAACCCCCACCACAAACTATCACAACCCCCACCACACACTATCACAACC